GACCCCGGCCCGGCCGGGCCAGCGGGCACCGCCCGCCGCCGCCTCTGCCCCTACAGCCGCCTTTTACTCTCTACAGCGTGCTCTGTAGCCAGGGGAATAATTTGAAAATGAGGTGTAATTGCTTCCTACATTAAGCATTTTTAAACGCTTAAGTAGACGGCGAATTTCCTACGTTTTAATTGCAACACAATATAACTGTTACTTAATAAATCTCTGTCTAAATCTTTGTACTTGCTAATCAAGTCCCATGCCAGGAGAAAAGCTATAAAAGGCTCAACTGTTACTCGTTGGGAAAGCGCAGGTTTTGAAAACATTTTTTCCGTGTGATGGAAACATTTCAAAATGCATCCGAGGTCTCAGACACGCTGACTTCCCGGCCACGCATTTGTTGTACTTAGAACCAAGTCGAAGAAAACCCACAGTCGCTGTTTAGCATTTTTCCCGTTTATAGACAGAGGTTTTGGGCATATTTTCTGAGTTCTGTGTTTGGTTTTAGATCCATGTAGAGGAGACTTTTGTAGCTTGTGTTTGGTGGTCAGAGTAGCTGAATCAGACTCGGTCATGTTCAAGATGCAGAGCACAAACTGCGGGAACACTCGCAAAGAGCGGGCAGAGCGGGAAATACTGTAGATCCCGACAGTGAGCAGCCGTGTCATTACACATCCTGGCTTTTAAACAATATACCACTCTCAATGCTGTCCTATTTGTTTTGTTTTTCTATTATCCCATTATTATTATTATGTTCATCTCGTATCACAAATAATGTGTGCTGTAATGTAGCCATGACTGTATGGTTAAAGATAGAATTAGACTTAGATTTAGCATTACAACTCCTTCTACAATTGTCTTTAAAGGCTAGAATAAGCATTAACAGTCTTGCTAAATAATAATAGGTATAGCTTGTCACTATTCTGTCAGAGGAGCTGTACTGTGGCTTCATTGTCTTAGGTTCCAGGCTGGGCCTTCTGCACACAATCCTGCTGAAATATTCACAGGATCTTGTTCATAGGCTATAAACCATGGCCTCTGATGGATCTCATTTACTTCAACAGATGTGTTGAGAAACAGTGTTTTATAAATTGGGTTGTTTTCAATGCTGGTTTGGAAACTATTTTTTACCTTTTTTTTTTTTTCTTTGTTACTTTCAATATTTATGATTTCAGTTTCATAATATATCACTGTACTATTGTCAATACCAGTTTTACTTTAAAGTTTTGTTCAACCTGAAAGATCACCAGATAAATGTTATTTAAAAATACGTGCTATTTAAAAATTGAGAAAATTGCTATTAATAAAATGGATTTCATTTATCCAAATAAATTGTCCAGACAGTTTCAAAGGGCAGAAAAACCATATTCAAAACCCTGCTCTCTAAATGAAGATAGAGAGGAGGTTCTTCCCAGCTTCTTCCCTGCAATAATATAGGTTTACAGAATCTGGCTTTAGAAAGTTCAAACACATAGACCAACTAGTCTATTCATATAGTATTCAGAATTGGTATCTAGAGAATTAATTTGAATTTTCATTAATTGCTTCATCCGTCACAAGTTCATTAACTTGCTAATTTAGAATGTGTTAAAAAAAATCATGCTAAATAAGGATGGGAAAATGTGATTATTTGCAGTGTTTGCCACATTCCTTTTGCCAAAATATTTATTCCAGACAGTGTGAAGTTTATGAACCGAATTACTGCTGCACATAGCACTGACTTACTGTCTTTTCGCTGAAGTGCAGTGAGTCTGGAGTGACAGTCTACGACAGTAAAGACTTAGAAAATTCTCTGACATCATGAGATCCACTGTCTCTTGCAATGTGTACAGTTTTGGGTGTAAAGAGATGAGCAGGGGACAAGAGAGAATGTTGGTTCATTTGTGAATCTAGCAGGGGGGTATCTGGAATGGGGAAATCTCAGACATACTTGATATGCCAGAAGGACTACAGTGAGATACGTTCTGTCTTTGTACTTCGGGGTAAATGCTATTTCCTTATCTCTTTTGGGTAAAGCTCATTAAAAAAGCTCTTAAGAGTCTTAAGGAGGCAGACATCAGATTTCCCCCAGAGAAGTGGTTGTTCTGTGATATTTCAGTTTTATGTTTGTATTATCAAAATCAGAGGTGCCCACAAGAGGAGGGAATCAAGTTTGGATGTTTGATATAGGCTTCCCAATTTCACCACAGGAGCAGAGGAAATGTGATCTGAAGCACATTAAGAATGGATTTTGTGTGTGTGATAGGCAATTCTCTATTTTCCAGCAAATATTATCTACGTATTTAAGCATCACCAACATCCAAAGTTCACCTGTCCATAGCTTGCAAATAGCTCCATAGCTACTAGGCAAGTGAAAGATTTGTTCGCCAGCCATAGTCATGGAAGATAAGATTTTGCTTCTCAAGAAATCCCCTGGAAAATCCCTCTGTTTGAGAAAGACCAGAAAAATTGAGACCAAAGAACAAGATCTTGTGTACTTTTACATATATTTATTTGATCATTTCTTTTTAATTATATACATTTGTCTGAAGACATGGGATACCATAGGCTTTTTGTAGGCAAAATTCCTATTGACATCCCAGACTTGTCAGGCAGCAGCCAAGGCTGACTTCTCCAATCGGTTCCAATGGCTACATTTCAGCCCTTCTCCCACATATCAGTGGGAATTCACCCACAAAAAAGGTAGGAAGACTTCACATTTTTGCCTTGACAATATGCAGTCACATTAACATGAAACAGAACCTCTGGATGTAGAACATTTTTCATTTTATGTATTATGGATTTCCCGGGGCTTTTGTTTGCGATGTTGTTCATATTTGGGTTTTGGCAGTTGAAAGCTCAACCTGGCAGATTTTGATTCTGTACAAAACATTCCACAGGAAACCAAAAGATGCCTTGTCAAGTTTCTATTCAGGTTTAATTACCTGATGTCCCAGGTTGTCATTTATATGTAAGCAATTGCATAATTTTTCCTAGTGTATCACACTCTCAGATTTGTCATATGGCTTTGAAACAGGGTGACTGTGAATCAAAGAAACTGAAAAGGAAAACATTTTTCCTAGAGCTTGACAGTTTTGTGTCATCCACATTTCATACAGAGCTCAGTTGTATTGCATTGTTTATGCAGAGAGGCACATTCAGTGTGGTGCTCAGGTGCTTCTACAGATAATTACGCTATTGTTACAAAGGATGACTATTCTGAGTATTTTCTTTCGCATTGCACAGCTCATACTGACTACTGCATTATGGAAAAAATAGCTGAAATGACTGCAATATGAACATATTTGTAACCTGCATTTGAAATCAAAACATTTAATAAACATGTATTGTATTTAAAATGCAGCTCTCAGACATCTGATGCTTGTGACTTGCTGGACTAACATCATGGATGTTCAAACTGAAAAAAAACCTGTGGTCTGTATTTACACATGTATGAGAATGAAGAAGACCTGACATATGTATGATTTGCTGAGAGGCAAATAACTTGGAAATAATTTCTTCTGAGAATGACTTTCTGTGTGTGTTGCAGGAAGCAGATGTGCATATTGCCAAAGGGAGCTGATACTCATTAATGGGAAAAAGCTTGTAACTGGGGGGTCTAAGAGCAAGCTCGCTCCTGGAAATGGTACACTGTTTGGAGGCCTCATCCCAAACCTGCTGGAGCTGCAGAAAACACTCCTAGCTCAGAGGGGTTTGTGAACATGCTTTGAGTGTAGTCTTCCTCTGACATGCTGGCCAAACCCTAAGCGGCAGCTACCTCAAGTCTGTCTCAGCTGAACTTCATCAGCTGTGCAGGGCTTGAGTTTTCAGCATTGCTGGGATATCGCTCTCTGTCCTTTGGCTGCATTCTGACTGGGGGCCACGAGCTCTGTGTGCTGTGAGCACATAAGGGCAAAGCTCCATTTTAGGGCAAGTGATTGCAAATGTAGGTACAATTCTGGACAATTACTTGCACAGAAAATGTAGATAATGTAAACATTTAGTTCCTGATCTTTCATTTGTAGATGAACAATGAACTGTGTATTTGGCGGGCATGCATCTGTAATTGTATCTGCAGTGCTTAGAACCCACAACACGGGGAAAATTTTTTGGGGAGAACATTAAAATGTAGCCTTAAATAATATGCCTGTTTACATGGTCCTCCTACACACAATTAACTGAAAAAATTAATTAGCAAATTACTTATTAGGCATCTTATATTATAACTCAGGATCCAGGCAGTTGGATTCCTGCTATGGGTCTGTGCAAAACCCATCGATGACAAAGGTCTGGACCTACTGCTCCTCAGTCATACCCAGGCAGGAGGGGGATGAAGCTGTGAAGGAGAGGTGTTGTAGTACCCAGCAGCACTGTTAGCAGAGTCTGGTGCAGGGGTTCAGACCTTGGCTTGGAGACTGTCTGGCTCTGTGTTGCTCTCGCTGGGATCTCCAGACCAGGCCTGCTATCAAAATATAGCCACTAAGACGGCTTGCTCAAGGTCTAGGCATCCTTGTCATTGCATGTTGTGGGTGAGGGGCATGAGCTGATCCCACTACATGCACCCGATTCCTTCCCAGGTGATCTGGATGGCACCCAATTCGAACCCCATTTGTGAGACCTGCCTCTTACTGGCCACCTGCTTCCACGGCCAAAACACAGTGCCCTGTCCACCAACCCACATGGCTTCAGGGCACTCCACCCGGATGAGACTAATAAAGAAAGTCAGAGAGGTGAGTGAATGGTATGATGACACTCAAACTGCACTCTAAGCACCTTCTGCTCAAAGGACCCCAACCCACCAGGAGGTTTGCCGTGACAAACAGGACCAGGGACTGTGAAGTGGGAGTGATGGGAGATACCTGTCACAGCTAAGGAGCAGAGTGCCGGGAGCAGGGATATGAGATGTGATTTGACCTGTTCAATCTTGGCTCTTGCAGTAGATTGACAAGTATATAAAGACTGTACAGTGTGTTTGAATTTGCCTGTTGTGGTGATTTATCAGCTTTTAGGAATTGCCTACGTGCCTAGTCCTAACAACCATAAGCATTCGACAGTTGATGGGTTGTGGGTTCACCCTCCTTAGGTGTACCAGCTTCCCAGTAACTGCCTCTGCAGCATCAGGGATTTGTTAGACATAGGATGCTGCTGTTTTGGCTGTCCCTGAAGAGAATAAGGTAGGGACTTTACCAGCTTGACCCCATATTTGCCTAACTTCTAGACATCAACAATCCCTTTGAAGTGTCTGTGTCCATAAGTCTCCTCCCCCAGTTTCATTTAAATAACAGCATATCGAAATTACGATATGTTGCTAAGTATATAATATTAAGAAGGCATTCTTATAGAACCTTTCAATAATACATTATGGTGTTAACCAACAGCATAGAAAAGAACAAATGTTTGTTCCTTCCAGTGTATTTGCTTGTTTAGTATCCATGTGTGCCCTGCCCAATTCCAGATTTTGCCAAAATACCAAGGGGAAATTATTGTGCAAATCTGTTCTAAAACTATGGGAATCTGTTGTTAATTCCTTCTCAAAGCAGTTTGCTTATATGACACAAATTTTTTTTCTTGTGCTTTCCTATTGTCCTCATAAGCCCTGTATATCGGTCTATGGAAGACTTAAGTTGTGTTTCTGACATCAGAACCAGGCTTTGTGCTTACAGCAACTAGAATTTGTTTTCACCCCACTTTGACATAGTCTGGTTGTGAAGTTTGTTAAACTGTAGAACATGCCCCAAGATCCAGCATCTTCACTGGAAAGGCAGTCGTGCTTCTGAGGGAGCACTGGAAACCCTTTTTCCCTGCTTTTCCATCAGAATGGTCTTGGGTTTTACAGCAACCTCTGCCTGCCTTTTATCCACCATGCCTTTTTCTCCTACCTCTCTTTTCCTCTGATGTTCTTGTAGTAGACTACTCAGTGCCAGAGAATGAGGGCTGGTTTCTTTCTTTTTTTCTTTGCCCTCTTCTCCCCCTCCTTTTTTATTTATTTATATTTTTTCCCCTTTTCTTTTGTTTCTGCTGTAATTTGCTTTGGAAAAGGCATAAAATGCCCCTGGCTCCTTCAGGAAAGGATTGGTGTGTGGTGTGTAAATTCAAGTTACTATTACTATTTCCAAAACTGGGATTTTATTTCCCTGAAGAGGCTGAGATTTAAAACTGGATAAGAAAATACAATTTAGAGTGATCCTGATGCATGTCCCAGCTATATTTAAAACACAATTGATATTATCTGGTTTCTGTGTTATTCAGTGCAGCTGGGGATGGCTGTAAGTAAAGGAAACAACTTTAAGTTAATAAAAAAGCATGTTAAACCCAGGGGATGGTGTCTGATCATTATGAAAGGACATAACTTCATTTTAGAAGGACATAGTGTGATTTTCTTTTGCAGTACATTGTTGTGCATTGGATTTAATAATGGGAGAAAAAGCTGTAAAGAAAATGGCATCTTTTTAGGAGCTAATGTGTAGGATTGGGTAGCTAACTATATTTGAAATCTTTGAGCACTCCAGCCTGTGAATAAATCCATTTTAACTGTGACTTCAACTAGGATACCAGCATTGCTTTGCACAACTTACAGTGAAAGAGAGTGTAATTCTCCATTCTTGAAAGGTCTCTTCCTTTTTCAAATTCTCCATTCTTGAAAGGTCTCTTCCTTTTTCAAATCTGTCTTCTGGAAATCAACTCAGTTCACCTGAGCAAGAGAGCAGGTGTAAGTCCCTTGACCATTTGTTATTTTTAAAGGCTTTGCAATTCTAATGTATTTTCATTGTTCACTCTTTCTTAAAAAAAAGTAAATATTATATTATATTATATAATATTATACCTTAATATCCTATGTGGAAAACATTGCCTCTTCTGTTTAAGGTTTTTTTTATGTGCCAAAATTATTTAATTTCAGTGTCCTAATTTTTCAGAGTCTTATTCTCTGCTGATTGCAGTGCAATTAATAGAAAATCATATCAGGAATATGTTCAATAAAATAAGTTAATTCATCTCAGAATATGGATATTTAGTCTAATATGAAAATACTTTTGCAATAATATTTTCCAGCACTATAAAAAGTAAACCATGGTTTGCAGGATTAACTCTGGCTAGGTTATTCAGATATATCTTAGCAATTTTATCTCATTTTTTCTTAAAAATATTTTTAATAAAAACAGTTATCATAAACCGGGGAAATTTACTCAGTGTTCACTTTTGTAACCCTTCTTCTTTAGGTAATTGTGACTTACCTGTGTAGGCACATTAATTTTAGTGAACACTGATCTGAATGAACATTTGTGGTATGATATAATTTTTCCTGTTGATGCTGTGGCACTGAATTGTAGCTTCAGAATTTAGGTCTAATTTAGTATCTACAAATTCTACAAAAATATGACTTGAGTTTATAGATTTTAAAACCCACAAAAAACTCCATTTTATTACTTAGATAATTTAGTAATGCCTGTTTCCTAAATGATACTTCTATTACAAGCCTGCTGCTGCTGTTTTACTTGGAAAATTTGTTTACTCTTCCCTTGGGATCCCATATGTTGGCTTGATTTATAAATCATATTTAACCTCCAATTATAAAGGGAGATTTAGCATGTTCGCTTCCTTGATGTTTGCAGCTTGTGTTTGATTGCTCCTCGTCTTGTTGTCATAATCGCTTTAACTGATGATGTGCATGTCACTAAAACCGAGATATCCTCTGGATTTTTATGCTAATTTGCTCTTGTGGTCGAAGGACCAGATATTTTGCTATCCCCGCTATGCTTTTTCCTGGCTGCGGAAAAGAACTGCTTCTGCAATAGCTTCTTGGTGGCTGTGTTTTCAGGCCGTTCGGAAAAGATTCCTCATTTCCAGGGAACGTTTGAAGGTTTTCCTTTTGGAAAGCAGCAGGCAGTGTGTGTGTGTGTGTGTGTGTGTGTGTGGGCAGGAGGGAAGGCGGCAGGCGCCGGGCGCTGTCCCGGGGCAGCGTGTCCCGAGCCCGCTCCCAGCCCCGGGCTGTGCCGCCTCAGCCTCGCTCCCGGGGCAGGGCCGAGCCCCACGGCCAAGGCAACGCGCTGAGCTGGCTGCTCCGGGGACAGCAAGCCTTCCTTCACCCAAGCCGGGGCTAGAACTGAGAGGTACAAAGGAAAACAACCACCTTGTTCGCCAGAGGTGTGTCCCTTAAGCCGTGACACAGGCTGAACTTCTGATGACTGCAGCAGGGGATTTCGGGCTGAGTCACTGCCCAAGCTCATTCGGGCTGCTGAATTGGGTAACTCGAACCTGGGGCTATGCTGCTCCTTCAGAAACAGATAGATTTTTCATAGTAATTTAGAATACTTCTACAAAGTCTGCATTCTTCCTCCGTGCAATACATGAACTAATAAAACGTCGTGACAATTATATTACATTGGTCAAGTAGTTTAAATAATTTTAAATAATAACAAGAAAAATAATTCACATTCTTTCGGACACTCGCTTTAGAGTTATAGACTACAAAATTGAGGTGGCATCCACCTGTGGCATTAAATTTGCTCTTGTTTTTATTCACATAAAACTGAATTGAGATCCTTTACATTATTGCTATCATGATAGCTGACAGAAATACAGGTCTGTGATTTTGGATGTTACAATTCTGGGTCATTTTCTGAAACATTTAGAAGCAACATGGGAAGAGAACATAGGAGATGGTCTAATTTTGATTCTGAGAGAACACATATCTCCCAAGCAAAAGTCAGAGAAGGAAAAGTAGGGAAGGGAATGAAACAAAATAATATCAATTCACTACAATATATAATTAGAATTTATACCATGAGGACTGAAAGTGAAATCTAGCTTGCATGTTTCTCTGGTTCTTCTGTGACCAAGGCAGAAAAAACCAAAATCAGGTAGTTTGTCTCTCATGGATTGACTGGGAAATTTGTCCAGAAAGCTTGTACCCTTGTGTCTTCTTACCGTGAAGGAGACAGAAGGCTGAAGCTGTAAAACACATTATACAAGCATAACCTTCAAAACAGATATCAAGGTGTGTGTGGTGGTTACCTCTGGTTTGGGGAAGAACTGTTCTGACTTTAAGGAGTCCAAGCAATTAATGGAAATTTCTTATTCCAAAAACATTCCCACATTAGCTTGGTTCTAGACTTGCTTTTCATCCACCCACTCCCTCTGTTTTGCAAATCACAGACAGACTGAAAACAATGACAAAAAAAGTTGTCTCTGGTTAGTATTGTATCTAAAGTGACCAAAACTAAAGAATCCATCTGTTAAAACTGCTCAACCAACTCCTTTACTGGTGAAAACTTGTGCAGTCTGCTTGTTTCAGCAGCACCATTTTGTGTGACTTAAAGCAGGTTTTAAACCACCCTGGTTTTGATTTCTCACCTCAATATTCCTTTTGCTGTCACTGGCAGTATCAGCAACAACTTGGCAGAAAGGCACCAGAACTGACTTGTGATCCTGACCCAATTACTCTTGGTTTGCTGGTACCTTTGCAAGAACACGTTTAAATGAATTTGTGAGTTGGTGGGAGGTCGTGTGTTCTAGGTTTCAAACGCAGCTCTAAAATTTGGAAATACTTATTCTATCAAGTTGTCTCAAAACGTTGATAGAAGCAGCAATTGAGAGCAAGTTTCTCTCTCATCTTTGTAGAAACCAAAAAAGTAGTCACTTTCAAACGGGATCCCTTATCTCTTACACAGCAGAGGTTCTTGTTCAGCTACATGTTTGTTTGTTTGCTTAAAAAAATTAGATTTCCCTTGAAAAACGATGGTTCAAATTAAGAAAAAAAATATTTATAAAACTTAAAAACCAGGTTCAAGAACCTCTGCACTTAAAACAAATTCTTAGGGTTTTAAAAATCCATAAACACCGTGAGGTTCTTGCACTCCTAATTACGAATGTTTAGATTTTGGTGTTCATTTCCTCTGATTGAAATACTGCAGGATGAATTATTCATCCAGTATATACAAGGTCATGGAACTTAATCCCCTCCATTTATTTTAAGTGAATGTCATGTTTGCAAAAAGTGCCAGATTGACAGACAAGATTCAACCCTTCTGATAACCTACACTTTGTATCTAAGGCTGTTTGGAAGTAAAAACTCTCATGTCAGGACTGTTAGGTCAAATCTTTCACAGATGAAAGTCAGAGATGAAAATTAGTGTTTTTGTGGTGGGTTTTTTTTTGTTTGTTTTTTTTTTTTTTGTTTGTTTTTGTTTTTGAGTAGCATAGTTTTAAATCATATAGAGTGAGATTTTCTCTATCGCCTCATCTTTTAATTCAGGTCAGAGGAAGCCTCTCATTGCTTTGTGGGTATGGCTCAAACCTCCCCTGAGGCAGAATTTCACTCTGTGCTGGGCCAGTTCCTACCCATCCCAGCACTGCCTGCTTGGCTGAGGGCATCTGTGGCATCCACAGAATCGTGGTTCTGAGTGGTAAAGCTTTGTAGCAGTGCAACAAAAATAAGAATGATTCATCAATTCAGCGAGGCAGTGATGACAGGCAGCATTGGTGGCCTCTGGCAGGTTGCAGCTGGTGGTCCCTACACAACTGTCTCCATGTCCTGCCCTCAGTAGTTGGGGCAAGATCTTTCTGACATTCAGAATAGACTATAAAAACAACAGTTCTCACAGCTGTATTTTGAGTAAGTGTGTGTGTGTAGAGGGTTGTATTGGTTGCTATAAATCTGTATAGGTATTCTTTTAAATTAAGCTTTTACAAAAACTAGTGAATCTTTAGTCAGTTTCCATCTGTTTTATCAACAACCCAAGTGGTACCTACATTAGGATTCAGTGGGCTTCTTCAGGAATTTTAGTTTGAAGACTTTGTGCCATAAGGCCACAGAACATATGTGTGGTTGGATCAAATATCTATCAACAAGCCTGTTGATAAAATATTTATCAACAATGTCTGCATTAATGTGAGGTGTTCAGGAGCTCAGATTTTCCTCAGATCATGCAAAGTCATCTGCTTGTGGTTGCTGAGGAGCCCCTGGTGGCCTTGTCTGTAGGAGATGCAGGAGGCAAGGACATGGGCTTGAACCAGTAAAGTGGTGCCTTGTTGGCACATTGCTTGGCACAGATCTACCCTGTACCTACCAACACATCCTTTCCAAAGCACAGCTAAGGGCTCACACAACATCAGCACTCATAATGAGGAATCCTGCTTAAAATGGGGCTTCCAGGCCCAGCTTTGAGCCCACTGCTTGGTACCAGCCTGAGGAACAGGGTGGATTCACAGAGGCCAAAAAACCTCTTTTGAGGTCTAGAAGCTGAAGGTTTGTCCTGTCTCAATGGTTATGTCTCAATGCCTCTTCAGGGACTTGTCTCATATATTTTCTCCTTCCAGCACCCACCCCTTTTCAGGGTTTCTGTACTTCTCTGTGCAGAATATGTTTGGGTTGTGGCTTTTGATATCCCAGTGTTACAACCTGGTTACAATGGCTCTACTGCCCCTGTGCAAAGCTTTTTGTTGGTGCTTGTTACAAAAAACAGAGGTGCTCATTCTTCTTTCATGTTTGCACATTGGAAAAGCAGCTTTTCTAGGGCCACACTTCTTACTTCCAGTAAATTTGATGAAAAAATTTTCCACGTGATTCAAGAATTGTACTGATTTGCAGTGCAATTATTTGCAGGTTTGTATTAATTAGTATTGTTGCAAACACTGACATTTAAAGCTGAGGCTAAAGGGTAATTCTGAGTTGCAGTAGGGGGCATGTAATATGAGTTACTGGTCAGATCACATATTTGGATTTTCAAAAGAATAAGGAAAAGCTTCCACAAAGTATTTACAGATTTTGAGTGACAATTCTGTTGCTGTAGCAGCTGTATGTTTTGTACTAATTAATATTCCTGTTGGAAGCTTGTGGCTAAGATGCCATTGCTGTCTCCTGCTGCTTTAGTTTGGTGTACAGGTTTATATTGACAGAGTCCAGCAGAATTACTGCTTTGTTTCCCAAATGACAGTGAGAGGATAGTCTAGACAGTGGAACTGTGAGCTACATGAATGGGAAACTCATGATCCTGAAAATAGGCCAGTGCCCTTTATGAAAGTAAATAGTGGAAGTCAGGCAAATGCAATCCAGCCAGAAATTGAACAAGTGAAATGTTAACACTATATGAAGTTTTAGCAGAAACAAAAGTCTGTTTCATGTCTTAACTTTGCACTATTCAGGTTGGGTCCAGTTGTGCCATGTGATGATGCTACAGGATTTGCTGAATCAATACTCTTCTTTCATATCCAGATAGGAAACATTTTTGAGAAAAAAACGCCACCCTAAATCCTAAAACAAACACTACACAAATTGAAACTTAAGCAAGATAAATGATCTTGGTTTGTACCTGTTGTGCTGAAGAAACATTTATGGGTGTGAAATAAACCACCAAACACTTTTTAGTTAAATAAGGAGTCATAAATTGTGAAATCATACCATAGCTGACTGAAGGACTCTCCCTTCTCTATTTAAATAAAAACCCTTCTCTCCAGCCTACAGAAGGACCTAGGAAAATAGCTTGCAGGAAAGGACCCAGCCCTGCAATTGTTTTGTGCACAGAAGCCCTATTGAAACCAGGAGAAGTTATGAGCAAAGAACATTTGCAAGTTTTTTATCCCAAGTATCTAGAAAACAGAATTTTAAAAGACACCATCAATAATACTACTGCTATAGTTCTGACTCATGCTCTGAACAAACAGTTACCAAAGAGTTTAAGATGTTCCACCTCTCTCAGCCACTGTTGCCTCTTCACTCTGGGGAGTGCTGCTTTTCAGATCTGTGCCTGCACCTGCCCATGGCAGCTCAGGCTGAGCCCATCCTCCTTCGGGGCCAGGAGAGGTGAGGCACAGCGATGGGTCTGTCTGTCCTGTCACTGGGATGGCTGTGGTCACTGCTCACCCAGCTCAAAGTGCCCCAGCACTACCCAGCAGGGCTTGCAACAGTGACCAACGCCCCGTGCGAAATTTGGGAAAGGTAGGTAAATGCTGCAGCTCATCTACTCCAACCTGTGGAAATCATTGCCGAGTACATTAAGGTACTCGGTGAGAGAGAAGAGAGAGACTCGTTACAAATCCCTCCAGTAGCTCTCAAGTGCAATGATTAGATGCAACCATGGGCTTTTAGGAGTCCACAAACAACAGCTTGCAGGAAGGTAGGCAGGTGAACAGGGGGCTTAGCAGCTCCTGCCTGGCTCTTGGTGTGGGTTCCCTAAACATCTGCTGGTGGTCCCTGTCTGGGACAGGTTGCTGGGAGACGTGTGAAGCACTGATCACAGTGAGATAACTGCTCTTAAAAGCAAAGCAGAAGGGGCCACTGAGCCCCTGAAATTTAGGGGAATTGATATGGTTTTCTCTCTTGGTGTCCCTGCTGGTCCTTGTTTTGTTACAAAGCCCCAGAAGCATCTGAGGGCAGCTTATTTTCTGCAAGATCCAATGTGTCTTACTCTTAAAAATTCTTTTCCCTTCCCTTTCCTTTCAGGCACCCAATGGCCTCCCAGCCGTCAGCAGTTTCGTGTCCGCACCAGCCATGCCTCCCTACGCCACACCAGCCCAAGTGTCACCTTACATGACGTACAGCGCCACTCCATCCAGCTACATGGCGAGCCACGGCTGGCAGCACGCCGGGGGCACCCCGCTCTCCCCTCACAGCTGTGACATCCCCGCCTCGCTGGCGTTCAAGGGCATGCAGACAGCCAGGGAGGGCGGCCACTCCGTCACCGCCTCCGCTCTCTGATGCAGGAGCTGGTCCAGGAGCACCACGAGCGCGCTGGCTCCTCGGCCCCTGAGCCTAGCTCATGGACTGGCCTCTCCATGCTGGCCACACTTGGCATTTCTCCTCGTGACTTGTCTCCCGTAAGGCTTTTGGGATTGAAAGAGCTGAAGACAACATCAGAAACTGACAGAAGCGTGGTGTTGCGCTCTTAAAGACTTTGTCTCCCTCAAAGGGCTCGTGGAGCCTTGTTCCACTCTCTCCTGGTCAAACCACACATATTTATTCTTAATCGTTGCAAACTTTCTAAATGTGCAATTGTTACTAAGGTTTGTGCAAAAATCAATAAAGAACAATCATCACAGAAAATTCTGCTATGCCTTGAATCAGCAAGGGTGGCTGAATGGGAATTGTTTTTGCCAATTGCCTAGAGAACAACCCTTTAACTGATGAGATTGTACAATCCACTGTTATTAAGAGGTCCTTTATTGTTGTTTTATTGGGTTTTGGTAATCAAATATAGAATGAAGGCAATAGGTGGCTTTCAGATTTTTCTGGCATGTTGCCATCGTCAGGCAGTAGTAAGATCTTTGTGATTTTATCCATTTGTAAATAGAGGCTTTTGACAGCATTTGTTTTCACCTTCCAGTACGTTTCTTACTTTTTTTTTTTTTTTTAAGTTAAGAAGATGGTTTCTAGTTATTTTCTGCATCTTTGCATGGTGGGGTGATAGGTGATGACATTTAGGTAGGGTTTTTTGGTCATGTTTTTGTGCCTACAGTGGAGGCTTCAACATCTTATGAAATAGTTATCTCTTTGGCAGAAGAGTCAAAGGCAGAAATCCAGCTAAGTAACTCTCCATAGTTATACCCAGCCTCCCAGATTCACGAAACACCACATTCATATGAATTGTACAAAAAGAAATGGGTGGAAGATACCCAAACAAAATGGAAAACTGTAGAGGAAAATGCTGTTAGTGTGCAACCTGTGCAGAGATGCTTAAAAAGCCCTATCAGTCACAAACCCCACTGAGAAAAAGAATTGTACCATAATTCTCAGCTCACTTGTGTCCAGATTATGTTGTAATTTTTTAAAGAGGACCTTGTCTTTAATTTCTGCTTTAATGAATGTAAAGTATGGCTCTTGGTAAAGTTTACATTGTTGTTCTGAAGCATTTTTTTTTCCCTTATAGGTATACTGGTGGTGGTGCTACAGAGATATTTAATATTAGCAAATTTCCTTTCTACATTTCTGTATGCAGTGGCAAGTACTCCGTGCCAGTTATTCTGCTTTAAACTTTAATCCCAAGAGAGCTAACATTCTGATTTTTGAAATTTTACCTGTTTTCCTTGGGCAATAATAAAGTTCTGACTATTATTATGCTTTTCCCATGCTGTAGGTATGTTCAGAATATGAATGTGGGAAAAAAAAGAAAAAGCCTGGTGTGACATTTCATATCCATCATAGGCTATTAATATATTGTGTATTTTTAAAAGTGTTTTGCAATAACTTAAATTACTGTAGACAAAGTTAAAGCAAAGGAGAAAGTACCATTCTTCATATATTGTTCAATTTACATCCCATATTGAGCACTAATTCAGTGTGAAAGTATAATACAGTTCCCTCTTAATATATAGTTCTCTTTTTGTGGATTTCCAGCTTTCATCACCAAGACAGCTGTGGGTAAATTTTCATAACAATCTAAGTAATCAGTATTAATGTCATTTAGAGTATGTCCACTGAAATATGGATGGATTCCGCTGGCTGCTGCCACCTTTGCTTCTTGCACTAAAAAATAGTTAACAGAACTGCATTTCTGTAAAGAAAACAGATATTGTATTTTGGCCCCAAGGAAACAAAGATCTGATCTTGGATGTGGTTCATGTTCTTCAGCCTCAAAGGTACTCAACAGCTGTGTAGCTTTAATGAGATGCTGAAACCCTTGTTATCCAGTAGAACACTTTTTCAAGAATGTTTCTTTGAAACCACTAAAGTGCACACAAGTGCATTTCCAATCTGCCACACTGTTAGTGACATGATGGATGTTATTCTTTATGCTGTTTTGGCTGAAATAAGATGAGCCTTAACACCATGAAGAAGAAATAATTTTAATACTAGACAAGCTCTTCACTAAAGATAAAATGGGGGAATAAAAAAGATAAGAAGAAGATCATAAGTAGATAAGAGATTAAGTTGCCAAGAGGATTTTAGCTTTCAACTTAGTCATTCTGTACTGGATTACAGAATTATTGAGTGAGTCTACCTATTGTTTTCCATAGAACTCAAACAAGGGGCACCAAAGGGAAAAGAAAAGAAAAGAAAACAAAACAAAAAAAAAAAAAGGAAGAGAAACTTTTCAAAGCACAGCTTTTTTGATCTTCAAGACTTTGCAAGCCTGTAACAAAGTGTGCCTGTGTTAAAAATTTTCCAAATTTTCTTGAGTAACATGAGGTCATTTCTGGAATAAAATTGTCTTTCCTGACATTCCAATGAGGAATTAGTGTGTTTTGGGAGATGGAGAGAGAGATCCTTTGCTGGTATCAGTTACTGTCATTATCTTCAGGTAAATCAGGATAATTTATAAAACAAGGACAGGACATTATGTTAATTATTCCTCCCGTGGGATACACCATCATAAACCTTTTTGTTTTGTGTTCATTTAGGTACAGCTCTCCGCGCATCTGCCTGCTGTACATGGTACCTTACCCCTGAATGGGAAGTCAGCGGGGCTGCGTGCAGACAGTGTTGCTCAGAGTGAGCAAAAGTGCCTGACCTGGGCTCTTGGTGAACTGCCTGTGATGGATTTTTTTGGTGTGAAGTTTCACAATTTTTTTAAAAAAATTAAACCTATGATGTAGAATAATCCTTTGCCCAAGGACTATTTCACTGCTTATACTCACGGGTAAACTGAAAACTGTATCCATTTTACATTAAATTAAAAAGAAAAAGGGACTTGTTTCCTAAAAAATAAGAAATAAGGGTTAACTGCTGCTGTCAAGTACAAGGGTATAAATCTGGAGTGAACCCACTGAGGTGAGTGGATGCATTTGGGAAATACGCAGTATATGAGTGTGGAATTAAATTTTTAATCTGGAAAGTCTACACCTCATTCCCAGACTGTTAAATGTTTCCAAAGAAATCAGTGAAGCCTAATAATACTTCCTTCAACCAAACTGTGTTTGCATGGTCCCAGTTCAGATGATGTTTGGTGTAAAACTCAGTTTCAGCCCACACTGCACAAGGAGTAACGGGGCATTGGTCTGGCACATTCATAGGTTTGTTTTCTCATACCAACCTGTTTTCTGTTTTCAAATGTTTCTCCTTTTATCCAAGATCAGGCTGAGCTACTAACTGAAAAAAATCATGTTGGAAAGGATGTAAAACCGAAGGCTATATATGTATATACAGTATGTTTAAAGCATTTTATTTTTATATTTTGAATGCTCTAAATTAATAAAAGACAAATTATAAAGCATTTTGCTTTAGTTTTTTGAAACTATCTTAGTAGTGTCTTCTCTTTGGCCAAGCACTGACAATAAAATGCAACAACCAGGAACACTTGCTTAAAACCATAAACTTTTACAGAGCTAATTTTATTGATTTTAGCTATGAAATAGCATAGGTATGAAAAGCCACCGTTGCCAAATTCAGACAAAGGAGAGGCTTATTGAGCATGTTAATACAGGCATCCTTGGAAGCACTGAAAACACTTTCCTATTTTTAGCTTTTTGTTGCTTTTCCAATGCACTGAAAACACTCTTGAGATGAAGGCTTCACATGTGAACTGCCATTTCCAAGTAAAAATGCAGAGAGATATTTCTTCAGGACTGCTAAGGAAAAGGTTTGTACCTCCTTCAGAGGAACAACATTACTGCTAACAGAGTGAGCGTAGGATGGGGAGATACTGAAACTCTCAGTAATTGCAAGATATATATGCTTGCTTGACAACAAACCAAATTAGATAATGGAGACATTTTTTATAGCAGAATAATGCGTGATTTTAAATTATTTAAAAAGCTTTTTAAAAAGAAAATGTAGAATGGCACAACTGCACAAACAGAAACTATGTCTTCAGTCAGCATAGCAGAATTTACTGTATTTCACTGAGTTAGAATGGCCAGTAAGAATGCAAGTACATCCCTGGAATTTACATTTACAGTGACTGGGAAAAGCAAAAGCTTTAGCTTCAGAGCAACGTATTTTTACCTGCAGAAAGGTGCATTTCTTTGAGGTGTATGGCTAGCTAATTACAACTGCAGATGTGCTATCAGTCTACAAGCTTGTTTCACCATTCCATGGTGGAAATGAAAGGCTAAAGGGGCAGTCAGGGTGCACTGAGCATTTTTATCACAGGACAGCTCTTCTGGGATAGCATATCAAAGTGGAGGAAAAAAAATTGCAGAAAAATCTCACATGCCTAAAATTACTTTTTTCTGTTAATTTATTTACCCATTTCTTCTATGAATTCCAGGTTGGTTTGCATTTTTTCTGTAACCTGATGCGTACTAATTACTTCCAGTATCTTCTGTGATCTGAATGAGATTCATATATATATGCCTAAGAACAAGTAGGATATTTAGTAGTGTGCATGTTTTTAAGGTTGTGACTACTTGTGCTGTCCTTTTCTATCCAAACTTGAACTTGAAAAACTCTTCTATGAATGCTGAAATCGTGCTGGACTGAATTGGAACTGGACTCTGACTGAAGAGCTGCAGAATATGGATCATTTTCTTAATGTGGAGTCAGTGGAGCTTTCAGTTTACATTACCTTAGTATCTGCCCCCCCAGGATTATTCATTTTTTTCCTTTAAAATGCCCTGAAAGTTTTTATCTTGCCATTTCAGCTGAAACTTTTATAAAAGTATATGGTTACATAGAATGTTTCTGTGTCAAAAAATTCCAGTTTGTCCTTTAAAAACTTACTGTCTTAATGTCTGCTTTATATTTTCTCTTGGTCCAGCAAAACAATTACAAATACCCAGTGCTATTTAATTATGTACTTAACAGAAAAACATGTAGTCAAATATTTTCTTGGATTAGGACCTAGAGACCATATTTGTTTGGAACTGTATTAACATCAGTGCAATCTGAGGGTATTTATTCAACACTAAAAAGGATAAGAATCACTTTTGCTTTATTATAGTGTATTTTAGAATGCATATAGTTTTAAAGAATACATTTTTTCAGAAGTGCTACTTGTGATTAACTGTGTCCTGAAGCCATGCATAAACGTATTCGTAAACCAAAAGCATCACTGCTCCACCTAGAAGAAAAAATATTATTTTATTACACAGAAAAATCCAGTATTTTCAAGATTTTATAGAGCATTTCTAGTATGGAATATAAAACAGAATATGGCAAAGCCTTATTCTCAAAATGGATAGTTCTACTATTTCCTGAGTTCACTAAAAATTCACCAATTCATAAACCATACCAATTTTACTTAATAATAGATCATAAAGTTGATGTCAATAGCTTGTATATTTGATTTAATATTACTGTAGTACACCCTCAGTGTGATTTTTCCTTATAATTTTTCAATATTGATAGTTTTCTTTGTTCTTCTACAAGTGAAACTTTTCATTTGAATATATGTATATTTGTGTGCCTGTTTAATTGGATTTGGCCATGAAAGAGCAACATGACTGGAGGAATGACAAAAATTCATCTCCTGGATGTTAAAAATGCTACCAGGTAATATTCAAGAGAGTTTTTCACCTGTTTTTTTGCCATGTCTAAAGCAGAAAATCGCGATAAGGAAATGAATATACTCTTTCCTGGCTAGAAATCCACAGGCAAAGTTTTGATCTAATGAAATGGCATTATTTGCTAGAATTGGTAACAGTATAAAATCCCAGCTTGAAAGCCATAAAATATCTTTACTGTTAGTGAAGCCAGACTGCAACTGGGCTGTAATTACTGCATGAGATTAAAAAAAAGGAACATTTAAGAAGGTATATATACATATATACATATCTAAACATATATATATATATATACACACATACACATACATACATACATACATATATATATATATATATATATATATATATATATATACATAGAGAAGCTTCTAGATGGAGAACATGGATAAAGAGAACCAGGCTGAATGAGTATATTATTTGTGGGTACCAGCACTGGGGCATAAATATCTTCTTGCCTTTGCCTGTTGGTGCAGTTGGTGGCTTGGAGTGGCACCTCTAACAAAGGAGGCTTCTGCTGAACTGGGCTCACCTTTCTAGGGATGGGCTGAGACAACCAGGCACACAGAATTACCACATGAGTTTCTCCATATCATTTACTCTCAGGAACCAACATCAAATTTGTTCTCTATGAAATTCTCCTTGAAAAGGAACTCACAGACAGCTAGACAGAGCAGATGTTTGTAAAAGGCTTTGACCAACAAACAAATCATAGACATAATGTCTAAGATGTGATTTGAACACAAATCAAGGCTGATTCCAAATCTCATGCTGTGTGATCTGTTTGTGTATCTCTTTTCCTGTAAACACTCACATGTTGGAAGAAGGAATTACCTTCCCAGTCACAATAAAGATTATGTTATTGTTTCATCAGAAAGTTAAACCTTTATGTTAGCTAGCCAACATAACTAAAAAGTATTTAGAATGAAGTTCACATGTAACTGACTTGCTGGATTGGGGCCAGAATGCACAGTCAGTAAGTCAGTAAGATGGAAAATTTTATTCCAAAATCTGCTGTGCTAAGACATACTGGGAAAGCTAAACACTGCCTTCTCTTTGTCTTGTGTGTAATCTAGTGTCTTTGGAGTGTGAGGGAAAAGGCTTTTAGCTCCAGAGCTCCTTGTTTCCCCTCCCCACCTTCTTCCTCACCCTGCACAATAACCAGGCATGGTCTAGTACTTAGCCAGGTGGATTGGATATGCAAACATTTACAGACAAACCTAATGCCTCCTTTATACTGCAGAACAGGCTCTGTACCTACTTGCTTCACCTATGTGTGTTCTTGCATATTAAACGACCAGCTTGAACAACTGGAAATACAATTCCATGGGAACG